TCTCAGCACTAATGGAAAAGGAACCCTACAATTTCCTTTAAAGACACCAAAACTTTCTAAAGAAGCCCCAGAAACACCCGAGTGACCACAACATTCTCTTGAAGGGTCCTCAAACCTCCTTAATAGATACTAGACCCTTAAAAAAAGACCCTTAAGAACTACTTAAGGACTCCAAGAACCTCTGCAATGACTACAAGTGCATTGTCAGTGGTCACCAGAACTGCATTACGGACCCCTAAAAAGTCCTCAGTAACCACAAAACCCAAAGAAACCAAACCCCCTGAAGGACCACTGGCATCTCCTTTGTGTACATCCATATTGAACTGGTTTTATTTGCAAACACGTCTGCTTCTCTCAGTTTCAGCCGTTCATCAACACTAAAACAACATTTTTCTCACCAAAGAACGGCGATCCAAAACAGCCTCAAGGTAAATCTTGTACCCCCTTTCCAATTAGTGTGTGTACATGTTTTTTAAACATGGGAAACCCCACTAAAAATAGGCCATAACCCCCTTACCATTACCAAGAGACTAGAGCTGTGTGCAAGGCACTGCAGCAGATGAGCATGCCTTTCTTTTACTAGTGTGTCATGTTCGACATGATGGACAGACTGGAAACCGGTTAGTAAACAGTAGAAAGCTGCATGGAGATCTAGTGAAAATGTTACCATGGCTACTTCTTTTTCCTCTCTCGAACTCAGTGCAGACTAATTGGGAACGATGTTTGAGTGCTGATTGGACAGAGACAGGTGTTTTTTTGTGATGGCGTGTCATCGCATCTTGCTGGTAAAGGGGCTAAAAGAAGCATGTTCACCCGCATGTTGCATTTCTATCAATGACGATTGGAGTCGGAGCTGAAAAATACCTGTGACTACTGCACAGTCATTTGACCCAGGTGTGAACATCAATTAAAACCTTTTCCGCTACATACAAAAGACAGATGTTAGCAGGTGTTGGTGGGTTTTGTGCAGAGTGAAAGGAGCTTTATAAATCCTAAAACACCAGCTTGGTGTTTAATTGTGCCTGTAACTTTCACTGTTATCGATCATTTTAAATGCCACTGATCATTAAAATATATTAGCCGGACACACATCAGAGCTCATGTCATTACCTGGATATGTGATTCTAAAATAACAATTTTATCTGCAGCACAGCAGCCGTTTAACATGCAGTGTTTATGAGCTGAATTAAAACAGTGATGGTGATCAGAGAGCAGGAGGAGAATGAATGGAGGTGGAACCAGCTGAATCTCTGCAGAGTTACAGACTGTTGTGTGTTAAGAGGACAACTTTCTGTCACCTTAAACTTTTTCTGTAATTACATATTTTTGCGACCATGAATTGACTGTGTCAGCTGAGCTGTGCGCCCACTCCTCACCTCCTGCTGGCTTTGATGCAGTTTTGTTGTTTGTTAACTTAAAAAAGACAATGAAGAAGAAGAGATTTAACCATTTTCACATTGTTGTGGTGTTTCACTGTGGACACAGGTCTCTACAAAAATTGACCTGGAAACAAAGAAAGTAGACACAGTCTTAGTGGCCTGTCTTTCATACTATCTTTAAGGACTTGTAAGTTTTGATTTTCTCTGAATTTCTCTCTGTGCATTAGTTTGACAAATTGTTTTAACGCAGTTTGATTAATGTAGAAAATTAGAGCTGTACTTTCACAACAGATAGCTGAAGTCTTGGTGTAAACCTGCAGCCTGTTCTGTGTCCTGAGCTGCGGGTTTAAACCTGATAAATCCCACCGGCAGTCTCACCTGCTTTAAGACTCAACTATCAGATGGACTTTGGACTCTTCCACACTCCACTCCTCTGTTTTCTAACAGCTGAGTTTCTGCTGACACACACACACACACACACACACACACACACACACACACACACACCTGTTGTCAGTCTGTCTGGATTCATGCAGAACCAGTGGAGACGTTAACAGACTGTAATACAGCAGAGGAGTACAACTACAAAACCAAACTGAGGAACACTTTGCTTTGCTTAAGCTTTGACTGAATAAATCAGGAATATCTTAATGAAGAGTTATATATTTTAAATTAAGAATTGTATGGCACTGAAGGGAACATACTAGTGTGTGTTTAAAGACACTGCTGATGTAAGCAAACCTTAAACAGCATGACTAAATATTACTATCTTGAGATTTAGTTGTTAGTGCGAGTGTCTGCATTAAATTCTGCAATCAGGTTGGAAGTGACAGCAGATTTAAATCCTGTGGTTTCAGTTTTGGTGTTGGGCTGAGCTGCAGTTTGGTTTATCTTTGGATCACAAGTGCACCTTTAATCAGATGCATATGCAAACATGTCAGGCTACAATCATACATGAATTTGCTGCTGTATAACTGATAAATTGCTTTTTGTTGAGTCTATAAAATGTCAGTTCACAGAGTCCATTTCAACAGTCAGACCTGAACACCATCTAAAACCCCACGGTGAATAAGTCTAAATGATATGATGGAGAAAAGCAGAGAAATGCATACATGTGGCTTTTTTAAATCAAACTAATCAGTTAAATGATTAACAGACTTCTATTCTTCTGTAAATTAGCAAACTGAATTATTGTTCTGCACCTACCCTGCTAAAATATTAAAACAAAAAGGGAGGCCCAAGCCTTAAAAACCGGTCTGGATTTGGTATCTGGGATTTTTGTGCTCAAGGACAGTCATGAAGAAGCTGAACGAATCCAGTCTGTGTCTGTGAAAGCAACCACAGCCAGAAACACAGAGGTCATGTGACCTGACAGCCACAAAACAACACTTCCTCTGTCAATCACTGACACATACAGACACACAACAGTCAAAGGGTTTTGATGATCAGGTGCTTTAGCGCAGAAACAGATCATCAATCAGTCAAATGTCTGATGTTTAGAGCTCACTGTCAAACTGTAGGTCAGTGTGTTTGTAACAGTGTCACTGAGGAGGATGTGGACGTGTTGCACGTTGGTACTAAGTGTTGTTTTAGGCCTGTTCTTACTGTGGCGCTGAAAGACAACACTGCAAATAGACACAACACAAGCAAACAAAGAAACACCTTCACCAACATGACAACACACGAAAACATCAACTTGACAGGGCCGGGGAAAAATATGATTCTTAGAAGCATTGCGATTCTCTCTTGAAAGATTCTGTCTCAATGCAGAAAAGTCAATTACCTGAAATTCAAAACCCAATTCTCAACATTACGATCGCCTCTAACAAGTCTGTAAGACCAGGCTGTACGCTCCTTACAGTTGAAACTTACTAGATGTAAAACATGCAGTGTGTTCACATTCGAACTCCCTACTATTGTATTAATAGAGGATAATGAAAGTAAATTCATCTGTACGAATCTGTTTTTTATGGATCATTATAAATACGCTAAAAGTAACAAGTAGTCACACAGTGAGAAAAATAAACCATGTTTATGAATCAAAAATGTTTTAGCATCAATAATCATTCTATAATCACATTGTAACTCTCTATATCAGTTTTTAATCGTGAGGTGCCTACAGATTTTCACCCCTACCACAGATAGGCAGCATTTGAAAAACATCTTCACACAGGAAATTAAGTCGACCAACAGTCTCAAGATTTCATTATCTACTCTTAACATCTTTGTCAAACCACAAACTGACAGTGCAAGATTTCTCAGATGCCATCAGACAAATACTGATTTAATTTAGATCAGCGATCAAAGCTAAATATATCCTTTGATTATAGAGTCTCTCTGTATAAATGTGAGGTGACGTGTGAATTGTGGCTCACACTTATTATGTAAATCAACGTTCTGGCCAACTGCTTATTTAACCTATTAACACAAACACCTAACTTTTCCATTTTTACTGCTGCTGAGCTGTAAACACTTAAATGTTATGTTAAATATTTGTCACAGTATAAATTTGAGTCTTTTAAATAATAAAATGCTCAAGTAAAACACTAACACAATACCTAGCTAAATGAGATGCGTAAGTCTCATTTGACCACGTGCCTTTTTGATTCTTTATCATAAATCCATATTCATATAATGTCATTGATTTTGTGCATAATGCTCAGCTCAAAGTAAACTGATTTGCACTGACTTGATTTGTTCTCATCTGCTGTACATTTGGGTATACCGCTGAAGATAGTATACAATGCCCAGTGGTGCAGTGGAGGGTTTACGCAGGTATATGGGGTATATACAGGTCATTTTCTGACTGATTATAGTACAGCCACCTCTCAGCCAAAAGCCACTAAAATATATAAGAGAGTATACCCACTTCCTCCTCAGTAACCTACACATTTATTAGCAGTGCTAGATGATGACGAGTTCATTGAAACTGTTTAAGAGCGGTGCTGATTCATCATTAGGGGGTGTTTGTTGTGTTGAGTTTCTGATGTTTAGTCATGTAAAAAGTGTTTGTGCTTGCTACTCTCCTGCATTGTTGACTGATAATACCACAAATGAGACTTTCAAAAGACTACTTTGAACAATGAGAGGTAAACCAGTTGAGCTCTGGCTGCTTACTGCTGATTTTGTCGGTTTAGAAAACACCACTTAATTAAGGGTATGTGCAATAACCCTTCACTATTTGGTCCACTTACCCACCACTAATGTCTGGCCTCATACAGCAGAGCACACAATCGTCTCTACATCATCATCATGAGAAACATGACAGAGTCATGGAGTGAATGAAGCAATCTGAATCTAATCTGTAAATACCAAATATCTGAGACAGGCTGCCACTCTGAGCACTGCCTGAAGCACATACAGCCCTCCCTCTTGGTGGTTTATTAATGCTCCACCAGGCTGAATCAGAATCAGCTTTATTGGTCGAGCAAGTGTGTGCGTGCACATGGAAGGAATCTGAATCCGGGTTTTGTTAGTCTCAACGTACATGCACAGGAATAGACATAACGGCTAAAAACAGCAAAGCATGGCACGGTAGACATAAACATTTAAGTGCTATGTACAGATGTAGTGTGTCTGCAGTGTGCTGTAACATCCCGCCTGTGTCTGGTGCTCACTCACCGCTATCAGGGTGCTGTTCCGGCTCTGCTCCGCCGCCGTCCCTCCGCTCTCCCCGAGCTCCGCGCTGCCGCCGCCGCCGTTCCCGGGCGCTCTCTGTCCGGCCTGGTCGCCGCTGGGCTGGGGCTGCCGGTGCTTGTTGGACCGCTTGGCTTTGGCCTGCAGGCAGCGCTGGTGCAGGGCGAAGGTCTGCTGCCTCTCATGCTCCAGCCGCTCCAGCGTCGCGTTCTCGTAGCGGTTCTCGCAGCTGTTGTGATGCTGCCGGAAGAGCTCGATCCTCCGGCGGAGCCTCTCCATCACCGCGCTGTGTCGCGGTGTAACAAAATCCGCCATCATCAATAATAGTAAAGCTCCCGGCTCAGGTTTCGTCCATAAAATGCTGAATTTGGCTCTTTTTTCACTCTGGGCGTCTATATACACCCCCCCTCGCCCTTTACAAAGACTCCTGTGCTGGCTCCATGGAGGCGACCTTTGTCTTGCTAATGGCCTTCAGTCACAGCGGCACTCACTGCCGAAGAGGAAAATTAAGGTTTTTGGGTGCAATACCATTCAGCCTCCTGAATTTACTCACTGTATACTGTGATCTCTCATGATATACACCAGCTGATTTAACTTGCTGTGTAACAAACAGAGCTACCAGAGTCCTGTTAGAGCCACATTACGCCTCCGTTTAACCCCAAATCAAAAACACAAACCCTTGATTTCTCCCTGCGGTGTGAAAACACACAAAAGCCCGCTACTTTTTTTTGCAAATAAATAATTCACACTACATTTCAGTTTCAAATCAATGAAACAGTGTGCTGTCTCGCTTTCAAACTAACTCCCGTTGAGCTAAGTTAAGTTAGCAACATTCCTCCACTCAAAAAATCAAAGTTGGAGCGTCGAAAATTCCTTAAAAAACTATGATTAAATTTGGGTGTTTTCTGGAGCTAGCTCGCGTTAGCTTCTGGCTTCACTACCATGTATTTGTTACCGATGGTGTTACCCTCCGTGGGAGCATCATAACGGGTCTCCAACTTGTCTGAAACTTTTTATTTTTGCTCGAGTATTAACTGTTAGTTAGCTTGGTTAGCGGGGGGGCAGGAGCTAGTTAGCTGGCTAAGCGCTGGCTACACAAACTTGGCAGTAATTACTCAGCCAGTGAAAAAAAACATTATTTCTACCAACCGCTACGACAAAACAAACGACAAGACTTCCCAGATGATACAAGTTTTTAAATTCACTTACTGTGAAAGCGTTGCTGTCCGCTCCTTCCTACAGCATCTGTCTAGCAAACAGCTGATCCTCCGCCTCCTTGTAGCGTTAGCCGCTAGCTGCTAACACTATGTTTTCTGGTAGACGGGCTAACGTTAGCTCGACTAGCAGGCTAGGTGGCTAGCCTGAAGCGTTTAAATAAAGCATCATGCTTCAGATTTATTTCTCCCGAGGTTCCCGGCGCGGATATTCCTCCCCACCTGGCCGAGCCCGAGTCGGGATGTGAACGGTTTGAGAGCGGATTCGTCCAGTAAGAACAGGCTAACTCTGTCCCTTCTGTGCTGTTTCTATTGTTTTCCAGTGGACAGGCAGGGCTACTCCGCCATCTTGGAAACTTTCTCTCTTTTTTTTTCCATCAGCGACAGGAGGAATGTCCATGGTCCCGCCCATCTGATGAGTGACAGGCACAGGCAGCCAATGACGAGCGAGGAACACTTAGTGACGTACAACAGGGAATGAAAAATTATAATAAATTTTATTTATAATTTCTAATATTTTTATTTGATTAAAATTGAAATAAAATACCCGTAATATAAAAATAGAAGGCAATAAAATTAAAAAGATATGGCTTTTTTTTTTAAATCAAGTGATGTGCTTGATATTAATATTAATAATAAATAATGATACAATTATTATAATTCTTTGGGGGGGATATACGTTTTAAGAAGTGATTTAAAAGATGTTATCAATTAAGTGTAAACCCCAATCCATCCATGACACAAAATTTTAATGTAATGTCAACACAAATGCCCCGGTTGTCAAAATGATGTACAAACTTTATGTTCACAAAAACTCACCCATTGTGAGCTTGACATACTTTTTTAATGTTAAGCCAACAATTTTTGAGTTTTGAGTTAATTTGACTAATATTTATAAAGTCGATTTCGCCTAATTAGTCTCACGCCAATCAACTCTATCATTGAGCACTTAACATATTGTGGCATGTTGGGGCTAAATGGGTGGAGACAACATTTTAAAGGCCATAAGCTGAAGAAAACTGCATTTAAAGGCGTTGTAAATCACTCACGTTACCCATTACACAGTCATTAATGTTTATGTATTTCGCAATGGTTCTAATGGGCGACAGTTAATGCTGTAGTAAAAGACATATAGCACCATGCGTTAAGTTGTGTACACAGTAAGTGACCTCCCGCCTTTGTAAATATAAGAATTTCTTAGGTCAGAATTAATCTCTTACATTTTTCTAGTAATTGAGAAACCTAAGCCTGCCACAGAGTATTTTTATAATTCAAAAATAAAAACAAGTGATGTAAAATATTCATATGACAGAAATTATTGCTCAAACCACATAAAAAGTTATGTTAAACTTACATAAAATTCCTGTCAGAGGGACATGTGACGCATTTATTGTGTGTCTGGTGTACTCAGAACTTTTACGTTACTGTTTTGTACTAAAATGAAAGTTTTGAGTGAAAGCTGTTTCCGAAATTTTTATAAGTTGAGTTAGTAAATTGGGGTTAACAGCGTTCTGTAGGTCTCAGCTTCTCAGGAGGTGAGTCCTCCTGACTGCGAAACCTCGGTCACCTTTAGTTGTAAGCAACAATTCAGCAATACTGTTGTTAGTTTTATTTCAAGTATTTTTTTTTAGTACTCCAACACAAGAACTTTAATTGTATTTTACCTGTTTTGTTTTCAGAAATAAATAATAGACATAAAAAATAATTAACTAACAACAAAAGTTGAATGTTTTTCATTGATGGTGATCAAAATATTAATTCCTGCTGTCAATCAGTTAAAGAAAAGCCAGTAAAGTTCCCAGTTTTCCATTTATTTTCCATTTAATGATTTGTTTTCACTGCTCTTTATGAAAAGGCTCCACGCTTTGTTTTATATCACGAATCGCTGTGTTGCTGCTGGAGTGATCCCATCATAACATGCTCTCTTGTTTTAAAATTTTGGCTGTTAATTAATGTAGCCATCTTAAAGGGATAGTACAGACTTTTTGAGGTGAAGTTGTATGAGGTACTTATCCATGAACAGTATATTACATACAGTAGATGGTGGTCGGCACGCCCTCAGGTTGGAGAAGCAAGCTGGAGTCCAAAATGGAAGCTAAGCAATGACTGGTGTGGCAGGGTCAGCCACCTAAAAAGTTCCACCTCAAAAAATCAATATCAGTTTAAGTTTACACTATACTGAGGGTTATTTTCACCTCTGTACCTCGATGTCAGACTGATTTCCGACAGGAAAATGAAGCCGTTGTATCACTCTTTTCAAAGCCAGACTCCATTGGGAAAAACGGCGATTTAACTTTGCTGAACACAGGAGCTGCTGGTGTACTGCTGCCTTGATCAGGTTGTTTTATTGTGTGACTTTGGCTTTTAGAAGGGTTCATTTGGATTCACCAAAGTCTCACAATAACATAGATTAACTAACTGACGGCAGCAGCGGTAGACCAGCAGCTCCTGTGTTCAGAGAGCTTAAATTAGTGTTTTTGTTAATGGAGTCTGGTGGCTTTGACGAGAGCAGAGATGACTGACTTCATTAGTTTGGACTATTTTAAAGGTGGCTAAAATTCGTTTTGTTGCCAACCCCTCCACAGCAGTACGTTGCTTAGCTTCCGTGTCAGACTCCGGCCTGCTTCTCCAAACTGGGGGGTGTGTCAACTGACATCTACTGTATGTAACATACTATGTGCGAGAACCCCGGTTCAAAAACTCTGACCTATCCCTTCAGAGAAATGAATCAAATACATTAGTATTAAAACCACTTGTTCAGTTTCCATTTGGCCTTTTTATTCATCAAAACAAATGTTGACTGCATGTCCATACACACACACACACGCACACACACACCAGGCTCCATCATCACAGTATTTCTATTCAAAGCTGGACCTTTCGTGTGGCGTGTCAGCAGGTCCGTCTCTCTACATAGTGTGTACATCAGAAACAGGCTGGGCCAACCATTAAAGTTTAGTTCAAAACACAATGTCAACAAAAGTAAAAAGTACAGAGTTACAGAGTAAAGTTTCACCAGCAGATACAGTGTTCAGTCTACAGTCTGTTAATCTAGGCAGCTTCAGCCGGACACAAAAATAATCTGAGACTAACAAAAAAATAAAATACAGGAGGGAGACGATGAAGGCTGAGACGTACATTCTGGATGGGAATGTAATGCTGCTGCTGGAGGCGATTCATCCTAACGCCCAGATGTCAGAAGCATCGTATTCTGATACTTTTCGGAAAAAATAAAGACTACAAGCAGCAGAGCTTACAGCCAAAACGTAAGTAGCTCGCATTTACCCTAAATAAAAAAGAAAAAGGAGGGAAGGTTATGGAAGCGGGGACCTCCATCCCCAAAATCTGACCTCACCAACAGCCAGAGAATCTTAAAACTCATCAGTTCTGGCTTCTCTTCCCTTCTGCCCACCATTTACTAGCCTGTCAAAGCCCATCAGCCAATCACTACACAGCTCGATCATCACTGACGGGAATCCTGACCTGAATGACATCGACAGACCCTTTTAGTGTGTAGTCCTGAAAAATGAAGTATCATACAGAGAGGACACATCAACAGTCACGTCATGGATATAAGACTGGACTAATGGAGTTATTTTTCTGTTTCCACACATTGTCAAGATTCACAAAACCAGTTTTATTTCAGGTTTTTTTTTTAAACTGTACACTGACACCACAGAATGATGCTCACTCAGTCACACTGTCGTAAAGCCTCTTTAACAGTTCATGATCTACCTTCTGTATTTATAATCCTTCAATGATTTCAGAATGAGTAAAAAAACATAATTTAGGATCTTTGCATGTCAAGTTCATAGATTATTTCATGATCACAAAATTCGTTGGAGAGTTTTTACCACTTGTGGAGAGGAACTGTCCTGATGGTGGCGTTAGAGTGAAGGTCAGGGGGTCACCAACTACACACAGATATTTTGCTGTAACTCTGTGAACACTTTCAGGCCATTTGCCCGTGTTTTGGTGGTCGTCAGGCGGCAGGCAGCAGATGTAATCAATTACGATTTCAGCTCTGGTTTGATTTTGGCGACACCTGGTGGATTCTTTCCTCTTCAAAAACGTCCATGATTGACTTCATTACATGTCGTATGCACATAAATGACGCACAACAAATTAAAGATGCTAACAGGTAACTATAGAAGAATAAAGGACAGCCATGAATTAAAAAATGGGTTTGACATGTTGAAAATATTTTAAACTTTGAGTTTCAGTTTTGTCTTGACTCAAGATTCACTTACAAGCTTTCAACTTCATCTCTTGCGCTTCATCAGGGGATTAAGTTCGCAGAGTGTGAAACTTCTGTCACAAGTGATCTTTCGGCAAACTCCATCCCTTGATGAAGACCACAATATGCAGTTAAAAGCTCTGGAGAAAAGCAATAAGTGAAGCTTGAGTTCAGGTTATTTTGTCAAACGTTCCCTTAAGTCAAGATGGAACTTTGTGACGCTCAAGTGCCATCTCTTTTTAAACATGGGGCTAAACTCCGACACGGATTCATGTAGGAGAGCGTCTGTGATTGGCGGAGGTGTTGTGGTGCCTCAGGTGGACAGGTGGGAGGGTTAAGCGCCTGAGTTTTTCCCTTAGTGCCTTTTTCTTTTCATATGGGGTCGATGAAAGAGGGACTGGGTGTCTGTCCACCTGCTGACGTGACAAGTTTAAAGTCCAAACAAAAGACGACAGCAGCTCATTTTCTGACCAAAGGAACTTTTAACACAAGAGCTTCATCCTGCTCTGTGACGTCAAACTGTTTCTGAGGATTTATTTTTACAAAAGCAACAAGAAGTGAGTTTGGATGTGAACGAAGGCGTACACTTCCAACCCAGGTTAATGCACAGGTGCAGTCAAAACCACCATGCACAAAAAAAAAGAGGTAACTACCAATAATTCCAATCCCCTGAATGTTGAAATGCAACAGTACCAGCAGAAACAAGAGAAGGTAAAGAAAGAGGAAAACACCTGAACGTTCAGGGAGTTTCCTTATTAAATAATGTCATTCAGAAGCTGAGATGTGATTTGGGGGAAAAAAAACAATCTCAGATCCTTGTCTTGAATCCATGAGAGTCCTACCTCAGACAGAGAGAGCTAAACGAGCTGCTGTCATGTTTGTTCGAACGGGAAAAATCTATAATGCTAATGGACTAAAGAGGGTGAAGGCCTCCTATCTCCAAAGTATCCTGTTTCATAAACGTCACCAAAACGACAACTGAAGATATGAGGTTTTAATATGTCTTTAACAAGCCGAGGGGTGGTCAGTACCTGCTGCCAAAACCGGTCTGACGAGTTCCACCTCAGTGCCAGGTATCACACACCTGTCACTCATCTGTAACTGACATTTAGGGGCCGTGTCCACCAATGCTTTTTTTCCCGGGGCCAGCGTATTTTTTTTTTTTTTTTTAATTCTTTGCAATGGGAGCACCACGTATTTACACAGAGCTACAAACGCCAGCGCCGTGACGAGACATCAGTTGGTTGTTGAACTTTAGGTAGTGGAGAAGTGACAAATACCATGAATACAAACCATCACATCGTACACATACAAGAGCTGAACAACATCAATAATGGGGGACAAATATGATAATGTACAGGTCACATATTAATATAGATTTCCTCTCATGAACCTTCCAGACCAGCAGGTTTCCGCAGATATTCCGTGTCATAGCAATCAGACGAAAGTAAATTATCTCCACTGAAAAAAAAAAAACAAAAAAAAAAACCCCGCTACGCCTCCAAAGCGCTCTCAGACTCGCCCAGCTGGGCGTTTCCCAAAGAGCGCTTAGTGTTTTCAAGCAGGTACAATAAAAGTTTGGTGGATACAGGGCCGTACAGTTAAATCCAGCTCTATCACGTTCTCTCCAACATATTTGACCTCTGACCTTCCACCCTGCCGCCATCAGGACAGTAACACACAGCAGAAATACTGAGGAAACATGAGCGCCATGTGTGGAGCCAACAGCTTCAAAACAAAACAAATGACAAGAAAACAAGACATTAAAAAAAGAAACAGTATGTGTCATTTTCCTTTTTAAATATTAGCATAGTGAATTTCACTTTAGGATTTAGGACGCTAGCTAATTTATAAAATCTGGGAAGGCTAATGAGCCAACTGTTAGTAGGCGAATTAGCTTCTCAGCAAGCTAATTAGCTAATTGTTGGTAAGTAGATTAAATTATTTGTGAGCTTGTTAGCAACTAACGTTGACGCTAATTACTTGGGATTACAGTACGCTTCTGGTTGGTGAATTCTCCGACTGTGCGTTGGATAATTCGGACTACTGTTAGCCCAATTAGCAGCCTGATTGTGAGCTAATTAGCAGACTGTTGGTAGGCTAATTGGCAAGACTTTTGGTTGGTAAATTCTGACTGTAGGATAACTGTGACTACTGTTAGCCTAATCAGCAGCCTAAGAGTGAGCTAATTAGCAGGCTCGTGGTTGGTGAATTATCCAATTTTATTAGCAGCCTGATAGTTGGCTAAATAGCAACAAGTCGGTGGGCTATTTAACAAGATGTTTGGTGGGTTAATTCCCTGACTATCTGCAGAGTAATCCTAACTGTTTGTATCTTAATTATTAAGCTAATTAGCAGTCTGTTAGCAACCCAAAGCAGGATCATGGTAGGCTACCTCAGTTTCTGGGCTAACAAGTGGGTGTTGAAAGCCAAATTTCCATCTGTCAAGAGACTTGTTAGCAGCTAATTAGCAGCCTGTAGGTGAGCTCATTAGCAAGACGTGGTTGGTAGCCCAATCAGCTATCACTGGGCTAATTAGCATGCTTTTAGTAGCACAAGCAGGAAGATGGTTTATTCATGATTGTGGGCTAACTTGTGGGTGCATCTGTCAGGAGCTGAGAGCTAATTTAGCATGCTGCTGGTAGGGCGGGGCTTGGTAGCTCAGGGTGGTGCTGAGCGGTGAGCGGGTGGCGGTGGCGGTGCGGCAGACGGGACGGTCCCGTGGGTTTGGGTCTGCTCAGGTGTTGTTAAGGAATGATGCAGGAAGTTGTAGTTGATCTCAGTTAATCTCTTTCAGAAACAAAAAATCCTTTAAATCACGCTAACTCAGTTCTGTTCATACTGGAATCATCATCATCATCATCATCATGAGCAGGCGTCCATATCGGAGGTCTTGATTACGTTCCTGTCGGCTTCGCTGCTTCCACGGGTTCCATTTTAGGCTTCAAAGCCTCGGAGCAAAGGAGTAGAAGAAGAAGAGGAGGAGAGATGGGGGAGATATTTTAGGGGAGGGGGAGATGGGAGGAGGTTTTGAGGTCAGGGCTGTGGATTCAGAGATATCAGTCCTTTCTGACCCTCCTGTTCCTGGGAGATCTCCGCAGAATGTCGTCCTCAGACTTCTACAGAGGAGAGAAGACGTGAAATTCATTCATCCTGGGAAACATGAGATCACAGCTGATTTTAACAACACGGTAATTTGCAGACAAACATTTCAGCTTCAGAGGTTTAGAAAATAACTGGTGCTGCACATCACTGCTTATTGCTGCTGACTCGACATCAACACCAGCAGCTGTTTTAATCACTGTGTGACTCTCAAAGGTACATTCATTCTAGTCCTTCTGATACTGTTCAGATCGTAATCATGAGCTCTGAGCTGCAGCGGTGGATGAAGCATTCAGATCCTTTTACTAAAGTCAGGGTTCCCACATTTTTTTCATGGACAACACTGCCAAACTTTTCCTTGAGATTTTAGCACCCATAATAAACAGGGTTTTTTTCTTGCCCCATGAGCCCGGTGTTTTTCAAACACATCAGATTCAAACTCTACTGAAACATAACTTCAGCTAGCTGGCGTACATGAAGGGGGAGACAGACCAGTGAGAAACTGACGAAATGTATGCAATGGTAAATGAAACACTGACACACATCAACACATATTAGAGCTACGTTACATCGACAGCTGCAGAAAATCAATCTGCTGTTATGTTACATTATGTGGAAGATTACTGTGACAATTTCACTATACATAACACAGTTCCATGACTTATAGTATCACGTAAATATTTGGTCTACTATTACAATAATGGAGCATGATCATGTAATCAGAACAAAATTTAGCCCCAAACTGGTGGTTACTTACCAAATGAAATCGCGAATAAGTATACATCTTAATTATTGTATTACCAGGAGCCGTCTTGTCTGTCTGTCTGTCTGTGTCAGTGTTTTAGTCTCGTCCTGCTGTTTTGTTAAGTGTTACGTGTGAGTTGTTTTTGTGCACTGTCAATATAAGATATATTTGTGGTGGACCTCAGGAAGAATAGCTGCTGCAATGCAGGAGCTAATGGGGAGCCTAATGAACTAAACTAAACTTTTCCAAAACTTAATATGATTTTGACAAACAACATGACTTTTCCAAACCTGGAAAATATGACTGCAAATCCATGACTCTTCAAGGTATTCCATGACCATGGATCACTGACACCAAACTGTTTTGTCATTGCTTTTACAAAAGTTAAAAATTTCCAGGTTTTTTATGGATATGGGAACCATGTAGAGTAAAAGTACTGATACCACACTGTCAAAATACTCTGTTACAATTTAAAGTGATAATAATTAAGTACATAACTGAGGAACTGTACAGGGGTTGGGCGACTGGACCAAGGGCTGAGTACATCACTGGGTGATAAATAAATCGATGAACTAATGATTTATTTCAACCAAACCAGAACTGGTGATTGGTGAAACAGTGGAATGACGAACCAAGATGGTTTTGATGAGTTTTATTTGGTGTCTGTCCAGTTTGAATGAAGTTTGTTTTACGAGTTAACAAGGCGAATAAACAAATTGGAGTTTGGTGAAAGAGAAGTTCAGAAGGTGTAAGGTTGTATTTCTCTGTTTATTAAGGAAAGTATGTGTTAGATTATTTCCTTTCTTGACATTCTGTGAAGTTACTTTGCTTTTTTAGTCTGAAACAAAGAGGAAAAGCCTCAGAGGGAAAAAACTCCACAATATTTATCTAACAGCTATAATTACTTTTCATTTCATCACTTTATACATCAAACATATGAACAATTTATAAATTATGTATTATTATTTAATATGGAACTACCCAACAGTTTAATCAGAGAACAATTTACTTTGCTGCTGATACTTGTACTTTTTGTATATATAATTTAGTGTGCCCCCGGGAGTTGAGCCAAAGGCATGACACCAAATAACTACAAATGAATGAATGAATCTAAAAATAAAATTTAACATAAAAGTTCTGAATACTTATTTTAATGAATGCTTCTAGGCAAGACAAATAAAAACATACAACAAAATTAGTTTCTAGTTAGTTGAGCTTGATGGCTTCACATGTGATTTTTCTGCCATATTGCGACAGAGACAGATATCAGAGAATATTCTTCTTGATATCAGAACCATAAAATCACAGACACCTAAACAAACAGGCTGCTTCTGTTATTGTGTGTTAGATCTGTTGTGTTGGAAATAACTCACTTAATTGGCTGTTTTTTTATCACCTCACTACAAATATCAAATCAGTCTTGATCACTGCTGTTTGTTTTAACTAAACTCCAACAGACGGATGAAAACTTAACATAATAAATGCACCTGAGCGCATCGTTACTCTGATATCAGACTGCACAAGTTTTTAAGTTTTGGTGCTGAACATCTTCTGTCACGGAATAAATTAAAACTCATCCCCTCACCTCTTCAGCTGTCCCCTCCTTCTCTTCCTCCTCCTCCTCCTCCGCTGCTGCTGCTTCCTCCTCCTCTTCCTCTTTCTCTGCAGGATTTTCCTCTTCGTCACTCTTCTCTTCTGTAGCTGAGAGCAAAGATGTAAATCAGTGAGACAGACAGTAACAGACAGCAGGAAACCACAGAGAGGAACAAACAAAGAGTTTCCTCAAATCTAAACGTAGTAGTAACCTGGACTGCTCTTCTCTGCCTCTTCAGCCTTCTCCTCCTCCTCTTCCTCCTCCTCTTCCTCTTCCTTCACGTCGGGCTGAGCTTCATCTGTCTTCTTGTACTCTGCTGCCGGTGTCGGTGTGCTCTTCTTCTGCAAAACAAAAACAACAAGAAAACAATTTAGTCCTACTTCAACCACTTGGAAATCTGCAACTCAATGTCTCAGTTGACAAATTTGTGGGTCGCAGTCCAAAAGTGGGTCACGGGTCCATTCTGAAAATCAGTTAGGCATCTACATCTACTGCTAGGCAAGCTAGCAAGCTAGCAAGCTAGCAGTAGATGCACGTTTCCTTTTGCACGTAGTAGTAGTTATGATATGATGCTGGTTATGGTTGCTTAGCAACCTCAGACACAACGTGCCTCTGCGCCCTTGAAAGTTGGCACAGAAAGGCACAAGAGTAGCACCCAGCGCCCGACCTCGTGTTTTCCAGACGGTTAAAGATGCAGCATGTGTACGGCCCTTTAAAGCAGCCACGTTGTGCAGAAACTACTTAATTTGGTGCGAATGAAAAATCACAAAGAACATCGCCGTGACAGAGTTAGCTGTTTAACAGGAAATGTTTCCATGAGAAATACAACAAAATTGTTTCTATCTTTTACTTCATGTCTGAGTCTGCTTTATGTTCGTCTTCTGTGTCTTAACTTTGTAGCAGACATGAATACTTTTTAAATATTGTTTTTTTAAGACGATAGTGACAGCACCAACAGACAGATGCAGTGGAGTAGAAGTAGAAAGTAACATAAGAAAATAATCATGGAAAGTACAAATACCTCAAATTTGTACTTGAGTACAGTACTTGTGTAAAAGTACTTTCCAGTTATACTCCAACAAATTAAAATCTGCACAGTTTCTTGTCTTGTAGCAGAAAAATAAATAAAGTCGTGTAGCTGACCAGGGCTGGGTATCGCCACTGCTTTCCTGAATTGATACGATTTCTAATTCGATTCAATTTGATTTGATTACGGAAATTTCAGTTACAATACCAATTATTGCTAAAATGTGAAAGAGGTTCTCAGAGGACTAACACTGTAAATTTTACAAGGAATTATTTAAAAAAAAAAAAAAAAATTTAGAACAGGATTAAAACTGAATATTTTATAACTACATGTTGTTCCTGGAGCAGCAACAGTAATATTAAAAAACAGCAAAGTCACAATATAAACTTAATATCTCACTGGAAACAAGTCTAAAATGTAAATAAAATAAACCATATTCCTGACATCACAATACTGAGTGAAGGCTGCTGCAGAAATATAATAACTGACACCAAAATATAAAACAGTATGCTAACAGTTACAGATAAGAGCCCATGACGTCGGAGCCTCTCAATACTAAGGTCATCAATAATTTAACGCTACAGCCTGTTTACTTCCAGCGAGATTAACGGGATTAAGGCTTTGCACATATATTAAAAGATCTCAGATTTTATGAATCAATCAGGTCACACAAATGATCGATTTGAACTGGATGAATTGATTATTTAACCCAGCCCTACAGCTGACTGTTTCTGGAGACCGAGGACTTTCCAGGAAAACACATGACCAGACAAAAATGCAGATATCTGTCTACACTACAGCACCACAGAAACACAAACAGACTCCAGCAGCACAGAGACACAAACACGTGAAGCTACTCTAACAACAGCAGCAGCGTCAGTCACCAGGCCTGAGGAGGCGGTGCTGGGTTGGTTTGGGCGTCCGACTTCCTTAAACTCTTCCTGTAAACTGGTGAGACTCAACTGACCCTGATCTGATCCTGAGGACCTCTGTGGACAGTCTCACACACACACACACACACACACACACACACACACACACACCAGGCTGAGACATCTGACAGCAGGCTGCACGACGCTTCACAGAACAGTCCAGGTACATTAAGCTTTAAGTGATGTCATCACTGCCTTGCCCTCAAGATACAAGGGCTCATCTGTCGAGCTAACAGTTCTGTGTGTGTGTGTGTGTGTGTGTGTGTGTGTGTTACCTTGCCAGTGCAGCAGAATACGATGATGAGGACGAGTGGTAAAGCCACAGTGAGGACGTAGACGATCCAGAGCCATGGACGCTCCTCTGCTGCGTTCATCATCTGAGTTGCCAGACCGGGCTGCAACAACATTATCATCATCATAAATACAAAAACATTAACAAATACACAAAAACAGGAAATATAAACACACATGAATACTAATCAACAAAGGACAAACAGATCACAGTGTTAACGGTCATGTTTTATAGGCAGAAGACAAAAACCTCCAGTCTTTAACATGTTGACAAACACAAACACATGGAAGTGACCACCATGAGACGGTGTATCATCTCTAGCCAACAACTCTCTGTGCTTCTGATCTGTAACGTTGACAGGAAGTGACCACCATGAGACGGCCTATCATCTCTAGTCAACAACTCTCTGTGCTTCTGATCTGTAACGTTGACAGGAAGGTCATTTTGACTTGACCAGCGGACTTCACTGCAAGCTGATTGGCTGCTGAAACAGGTGATGTGCTTTAAAACCTGCCACCTTCACGTCTGAGTTTATATGCTTTTGTTCTCTTTTATTGCCCATTTTATGGTTTTATTCTCTTTCAAGTGAAAATATTTGTTTGTGTGCGGAAGGGAGGACGATAAAGCTGAACCTTGACCCTTTCTTAACTGCAAGTTTATTTTGTTTGCTTTTTCAACACCTCAGTTTGTGCACGTTGTTCCAAGGCAGGACAGAATATAACTTCTGCACTTTCCCTCTCTGAAACCACCTTCCCTGTTCACTGCACATTTACTGATGACCTCATGTCTTATGTAGGTGGCTGTGTAGTTCCCTTCCTGCACCCACCTCAGCGGCGCCCTCTGCAGCCTTCTTCAGCCCCCAGCCGTCAGCAGCCCAGCGTTCTGCAGTGTTGCGGTCGTTGGTGATGAAGAAGTTGTCGAAGAAGATGTCGGAGGTCATGGACCAGAGCTCAAGTCCCACGGCGCTGAACGGACTCATTCTGAATGGCTGCAGGTCCTCGAAGAACGCCGGGTTGGAGATCTTCCTCGGCTTCCACACGCCCTGAGGACAGAGACGAGGTTAGGTCACAGGGAAATAACGTGATTATCACCTGTTGATCCGAATACAGCTGCACCTGAACGCCTCTCTGTGAGGAGGGGGTTCACAAACTCACCTGGTAGTTGGGGTTGTCAATCATGGGGGGCTTCCACTTGCCCTTGTAGTTGGGGTTGTCGATCATTGGTCGTTTCCAGGCGCCGCAGCCGGGGGCGGTCTCACAGGCGGGGTTAGGGATCTGAGGAGCCTCCCATTCGCCGTCCATGTCCTCGTCCCTGTCAGACAGGAAGCACAGTCAGACAGGTGAGCAGTTTTTATTCATCAGTGTTTTCTGACTTTGATATGACACCAGGTGAACATGACTCACCAGTCTTCAGGTTTGACGGCGTCGGGGTCTCCGATGTACTCCGGCTCGTCTTCCAGCCAGCCGTCTGGTTTCACTGCATCTTCATCTGCGATCTGAGCGGGAGCGTCTTCATCCCTGCAGACAAATATATGAATACACATTACTGTGTGATGAAACATGATGTAGAGCTCAAGAATGTTCCTCCAGCGAGACTTCATTAACTCCAGTTATTTTCACGATGTTGTGCTCTTGCAGCAGAGAAGCGAACAGGCCACCAAACTTTTCACTAATGATCTCTTTCTGGAGCTTTCAGCAACAACACATCATCTTCATCGTGTATTATATATAAGCTGATGCTTTATTTATCCAGAGGGAAACTTTTGGGCAGCAGCTGCAGCACAAAGTGAGAGTATATAGTGTAAATACGAGTGTGAATAAAACAAAGTATGAACAAAAAAGATTATCAATAAGGTGCAAAAACTAAATGTAAATAATGCGAGAATTAAAAACAGGTTGACAGTCAAGGCCTCTGCACACTGAGTCTGTTTTTTCTTCCCACACTGTTGCATGTCTAAAAATAAATATGACTTCATGTTGTGTCAAACGTGTTTGTCCAAAACTTCAGTTCGTCACAATTTTCCTGACGACACACGACAAGATTGATCAAACATCAACGGACAAAATGATGAATGGTGGATAAAGTGTGTGTGTGTGTGTGTGTGTGTGTGTGTGTGTGTGTGTACATGCGTGTACTGACCAGTCCTCAGGCTTGGTGGCGGTGGGGTCCTGGATCTTGGGCCTCTCGTCCCAGTCCTCTGGTTTCTGGTCGTCAGGGTCCTCAATCTCAGCGGGGGGGTTCACAGGAGGGGTCATGTCTGTCAGCAGGCTGCCGCTGTTCACCACCGTCTGATCCACCAGCACCTCGAAGGTGTTGTCAGGGTTCACCACTGGGGGGGCGACACAGAGTTGAGTTACACACCTGGACGGTCATTAATGTGTGTGGGTGTTGAGCTAGCTTCATATTTTCCACGCCTGTGCATCGCGAGGGTTGGCTTTGGTCCGCGTGACGTGAATGTCTTTATCCTCATATGTCCGTGCGGACTGTACACAGGGGGCACGACGACTGCACATGCTCCAATTACAAAATCGACTGGGCAGCAAACAGATAATATAATGGATGCTTATTTTGAATAGAGGTTGTGCGAGAAGATCCGCCTTAACCCGCACTAATATAATTTATCTTTAAAGGAATAACCGCCACCAACTGCAATGGAGTGGATGGAAAGATGCACATCCTTGGAACGATGAAGTGATGCGGACTCTTGGTTGTAGTATGAATGGAACCACGTGTGTGTATGGTACGAATCTGCGGCTGTCCACAGAGCGTCTTAACCCAGTGTGTAAATTAAAGACCTATCTTTTTAATGTGGAACAACACTACAGTCTTGATTTTTAAGTTTTAACCACTGGTTTTTACCTTATTTTATCCCTCCCATTTATTTTTAATTCAATTTTATTTATTTACTTT